TTATTAAAGACTTCGATACAAAAATGAAAATTTGTGAATTGGCAAAGAAGTTTGATCTACCGGAATCGACGGTCAGAACAATTATAAAAGGTAAAGAAAAAATTCTCGAAGCTGTAAAAAATGCTCAATCTTTAAATTCAAGCATCATTCGTAAACGTCACGGTATTATCGCTGAGATGGAAACAATGTTAAAATTATGGTGTGATAATCAAGTTAATGTGAAAAATTGTATAATAATATAATTTGTTATACGTATGTATTATCTAAGATTTTATTAAACATTTTTTTCTAAATTATTGTTTTCTTTAGTCTCTGGTCCCAATTAAAAATAATTTGTATGTATTTATATGCAAAATTATACCCCGACTTACGCGAATTCGACTTACGCGGTTATCGCTCGGTCCCACCTATTGCGTAAGTCCGGGGTATGACTGTATAACAGATGAAGATAGAAAAAGTTGAATCTATTAAATATTAAAAAATAAATTTAAAAGCCAGATAAACAAATAGGAATGATGTAAAAGCGACAGATAAAGAAAAAGTTAAGGATTCATAAATGATGCAATAAAGATTAAATATTGCACTATCTAGACAATTACTCTCAATCAACACTTTATTACAACATAAGAAAAATAAACTTATAATAATAAAAACACTACAAAATTACTAATACTAATGAATAGCAAAATGGTTCAACAAAAGCTTACTTCTAATTTTACAAATACTTTCTATGTTTTTTTTAAACCTAAATAACATTCTTAACAAACTTTTTATAGATTTTTCATTTATCTGAATGCTGAAGTTTTCTGATAAATCCATATATCTGAAGTAAAAACAAGAAATTTACTCTCTTCTCCAAATAAATAAAACCAGAATATAATTATATTTTAAAAGTTTAAAACAATGGAAGTCATTTAAGAAAATTCAAAAAGTTTATTGTATTAACTATCAGACTTCGAACTAAAATATAATTGCCACTTATGCAATACGCTTCTTGTCTAGTCTTGTGTTGAATTATACAAGCGTTAAGGTGGCTTTTCTTTTTTGCTAGACTTATTATACCATCAATAAAAAGGAGGACAAGCTTTAGAAAAACTTTATTTCTTTGAGTATGCATTTTGGATAATTATGTCCCTTTTCAACTCTTGTGTTACAACTATATAGGGAAATTAAGAAAAATTGTTTTAATTTACATTAGAGTTTTACATGATGGGATAATCCACAAATCGTAAATGGGAGAGTTAACAGGATGCATCAGAAAGGCATGGTCTTGAGGTGGGGAGAGATAGTGGGTGGAATGGTCTTAAGAGAAGGGAGGGTCGAAAAAAAAGGAGTTTCTGAGGGGTTAGGGAAATGTAGAAAAGTGAAGGAGGAAGAAGAAGTGAGGGGTATGAGCATCCTGGTGGGTACCGTTTGGAAACGATGCACAGAGTTAACAAGAACCTGCCATACATTAACACATTATTTAATCACTACCGCCACCCCCTAATTGCCACCCTTATTTTAGATTTAATAGCAAAACATCATTTTTGTTTTTTTATTTTTATAGTCTCACAGCTTCAAAACAAATTTTTAATTTATATTTTAAATATAAATTATTTAATATATCTAACAATAACACACACAAAGCAATAGTCTAATTCCAGTTTTATCACAATCATAATGTCTGATAAAACTCTAAGCTCTTTAATATTAAAGGAAAAAATGTTAAATGATAAAAATAAACAAACATTCAAACCCGATAGTTATATATTAAAGCCAAACAACTGCTGAATTATATTGGACTATATTACTACTACTATTATTAAAATACGATATTTTAAATTTCTCGAACTCGAAATACAATATTTGAAATTTCGTTCCAAAGACAACGGACATTCTAACAGATCATTGCAAATAGAACATAGCCTGATGAAGGACCCAGTGGGATCCGAAAACGTTAGCGTAAGCAATTGAACATATTTCATGCCAGTTATTGGTTTTTTAGAAAAATTATTATTATTAAAATATTAATTTAATTATAATTATTAAATTTAGCAAGAGATGGTGCCTATTGCCTGCCTCTAGTACCTAATTACTTAATATTTAATTAATAACAGTAATAGTAATATAGCCTAATATAATTTGACAATTGATTGGCTTTAATAATAAATATAATTTCATATATTTTATTGCAAATAATTATTTTGGAAAATATGGTGACAATTTTAGATCATTTTGTCTATAAATTTGTAACCAATTTTTAGCTAGCTACTACAATAAGGATAAGGATGTGATTAAAACAGTATGGATAACTTCTCACCAGAATGAAGAAATAATTTACATGCAAAAAACAAAAATAGTTTATTTTTTTAATAAGTTAAAAAAATAAGTAGTTGGACAGAATCTGGGTTATCTAAAACAGATGATTAACATGTCTAATACCATAACTCTCTTTAAAATAATTATTAAATCTACAGTTAAATAAATGTTTAAAAAATTCTTTAAAACTCAACAGCAAATTAATTTATTACTGCATTTTTTAAGTTTTTCTTTTAAAGATTTATCATACTGTATATGTTGAAAATTCCTTACATCAGACACTGCAATATAAGTAAATTGTTGTTTTGTAAATATAAACATTAACAACATATATTCAATAAATTATTTTTTAATACTAACTTGTAAGTTAAACAGTTTTATTTCTATATAATGAGTAGAATGTATCATAAATCTGCTAATTTGCACAAATTATTTAAACTAAATGTTTCTATATTGAATAAATAAGTTACCAAATAAAAATTAATTATAGTGGCAACTCAATTATCCAAATTTGATGGAACCAAGAGTCTTTTGGATAACCCAGAAACTTGTTTTTGTGTTTTGAGTACAATCACGCACTATGCATTTAAAGTTTCATTAACCATAAATACTGTAATATAATTACTGTACTTGAAAGTAAATTAATTTACTCAAAATCTAGCATAATATTACATGTCTGTATGACCTAGTTTCACTACACTACAATCAAGAAATGATGTAGTAATTTCTATTTATATAGAAAGTTTGGTCTAAGAGTATTATACTCTGTAGTACAGTATGTAAAACTCTACTTGTTCTAGTTTTTCTTAAACTGTTTTGGGTAGCGTGGAGTTTTGAATTATTAAGTTTTTACTGTATTATGGTCTCAATACCAAGTTATACCAGATGACCATATATTAATAAAGAAGAAAAATTATTAAAACAAGAGTGGGTCAAAATATCTACATTTTATATTATCGTTTCATTTTATATTAGAAAATTCACAAATATCCTAAATACTCAAATTTCATTTAAAATTTTTGAACATTTTAAATCATCATACACAAAACAAATCTTTTTTCTTTATTTGTAAAGTTTATTTAGCACATTATTCAAATAAATAAAATATCACTAATCCAAACTAATTGAAAAGCAAAACGTGTTTAAATTAATAGAGTTCAAATACGTAATTTAAATTCTGATGTAATCAATGGCATAAAGTTTGCATTGAATTTTACAATTCATTCTTAATATCTAATAAACTGGTAATATATTTTATAGCAATAAAATTACTATAATTATTAGACATTATATATTAATGCAATTCTGTGTGTTATGAAAGTATTATTTAAGTAAAGTAAAATAATAATTTGTTCATAAGAAGGGAAAAAAATAAAAAGTAAACAAACTAAACAATAAAAAACAGTAAATTCACAATATTAATAAATAAATAAATTTATATACAACAGAAAAATTATTTTCCTTTCTTTCAAAAAAGTAATTTCTTCCTTTCAGTTAAGCTTAGTAAATAATTTTTATCATTATTTTCTCAGAGTTTTAACATGAATTATTCAACAGTAATACCCAAAACAGAAACATACATGTTTCATGTAAATTAAATGGGAAAAAAACATTTAATCTTTTTATATGTCAGGATATATTTTTGTTGCTAGGGATTTGTTTTTTTCTCCCATTTAATCAGTATGTAATGTTTCATATAAATAGGTAGCATTTATTTTGTATACAATTTGGATGACATATGCTAAAATAAATAGTGCTTTAACATAACTGTACTTATAACACCATTTAGATCAAAATAAAATAATATTAAGATATAGGTCAAAGAAATTACTGTGATTCTAAAACATAAGCACTTTTCCTTTAAACAATATTGCATCAGTTGTTTCTGCAATACATCATTTAATAAACATTCATATAAATATTAATTTAAGTTTCTAGATTTCAAATGTTTAATCCATTTCAGAACTATTCAATAGATACAGTAATGACAGCAACTTCATTGAGATAAACAAAATAAAAGTTTACGATAATCAAAAGCAATTTGGAGACATTAGCAACATTAATGATCTTTTATCACAGTATAATTGCATCGTTTCAGCTCAATACAATCATTACTAAAAATTACTTTCAATACTAATGATAAATAAATTTAAATTCCTCAAATTTGTAACATCATAATATCGAATACCAGAGGGCAGCACATCTCCAAGGTTTGACTAGTAAATTTTTCCTATTGAAATGGTTAATTTTTTGCAAAGATTTCATATAAATTCAAGCCTACATTGAAAACCAAGTAATATTTTTGTAAGCGGTGTGTATATGATATAAAAAATGACTGTATTATAAAGGTTTTTCAATGGAAAGCAATGGATTAATGTAAACCTGATATTGCATATTTTTGACATTTTTGTATACTTTACAATGTTTTATATAATGCATAACTGATAACAATATTGTATTTTTGAAAAAAGTACCTCAAAATACGCAATAAAAATAATTATAAGAATAACTTTTGATTGCGTATGAAAAAGTTGTTGATTAAATAACAAAATGTAAAAGTATTAATAATGTACGATTTTTTAAATCCTTTTAAATTCCACAATGATCTACGCTTTGGTTTTTCATTAAAAAATCTTTTTGAAATGTGTATTAATTGAATTTTCGTAAGTAAAATACGTAAACAAATAGGCTTAACTTACGTTACATTCTGATTAAAATTGACAAAGAAAACTCCACTTGACGGATCACCACCTTCGCTTGCTAGATTCATTAGGAGTATTAGAAATATATTTTAAAAACGACATAAATTAAATCATTCAAATACAGCAATATTCTCTTGTTCAAACCATCTGAGTTAAAGAATCTGTCAGCTGCTCTAACTGGAATCTACTGCTCATGCTCGCCAGGCGACGGGGGGGATATAATATAAACAAACAAAAAGTTGTTTTGGTCAACAATTTCGCAACTAAGCTAAAAATTATTTCATTTTAATATAAGTATAATTGAACTGATTATTAATACACTTAAATTAAATTAAAATTTGATTATTTTGATAATTTAATGGTAATCATTAAATTAGACATTTAAATTTGTACAATTTTGAGTTTGTAATTGTGTTTGTATTATATTTCGACGTATCTATAATTAATATGATTTATTGTGTAATAATAAAATCATAAAAAGTCGTTTTAATATAAGATTATTAATTTTTCACAGAAATGAATAGTTTTTTTGTTTTTTTTTTTTACAACTCTCTCCGCCTTTTGAGGAGTAGGATGGCCGAATGGTCAAGGTGGCANAATAATTAAAAATTAAATTCATTTAAATTAAGTGAACGTACTTTCTATATGTGGAAAATATGTAGAAGAACGGATAACAAGGCATTTTTATGACTATAGGGCCTATAGTAACATTATGTGGTACCGAGCCGTGGCTAAAGCATTCGGCACCAGGGGCAAACTTAAACGTGGCGCCTTTTGAATAAGCCTTCTATTAGTCTGTTGCCAATTTAAAAATAATAAAAAAAGACACTTGTTATTAATATAATGCATATTATATTAATATTATATTAGAATAATATAATTTTTTATACTGGTTTGTGCAAAGTTTCTAATTCTGATTATTCAACATTATCAATCCCGGGTCCCCCAGAGCGGTAGGCTGCCACGTTGGCAGCTCGGCCATCCGGCTTTATCGAAAAATATGGCACGGCCGAATTTGTAATCGCTAAGTAACATAACTTCTATTACATTATGTGATTAACATTATGTGTGTATAATTATTAGAGATAAGTCTGACCCGAAATGGGACGAACCGGCATAGATAAATATTGGTATTCGTATAGCCTACGAAAAATCATCAAAGTCCATATGGGATTCGAACTCGGATTCTTCGACGGTAAGCGGATGTGTTACCATGAGACGAAGACGAATATGTAATAAACACAAGTGTTTATTATATGTTCTGATGACGAAATCCATATCCATACGTTGCAATACCTTTGTAAGGCTTGCAATACCTCTGAGGGACTCGGGATCGAATCCGTGTTGGAAATTCAGTAATATTTCATTGGTTATCCGTCTCTCAACACTCGGTAGCCCCATTGAGGGCCTGGACGAATCCATAATGGGTATGATTAAAAACACTGTCTGATGCCAACAGGGCAAAAAGAATAGAAAGTGAAAAGAAAAAAAAAAGAATCATCTGACCTGCTTCCAATGAAAAATCATCATAATTCGAAGTAATCTTAATTTTGGATTCTCATAATTTTTACTTTTCCGGCTGTTATATATAACAGAAGAAAAGTATTGTAATTAGTCAAAAATGATCCACCCCCTACATTATTGACTCGGGGACTTTTAAAGGCCGAGAAATGCAAGAAAATTCGGGGTTTTTTCTGTATGTATGGATGTTAGTATGTGTGGGAGGACACTATTTTGTTCATCTTCTTTGAAGCATAATACCTCCTGCTGTGCCTTTTGTAGAAAATTTCTGAAATTTAGCAAGGAGGTTTGTGTATTAGAGGCATCGATGCTATTAAATTTTGATGGTTAAAGATGGAGTGGAGAGATAAAGGGGATCGTGTGTGGTATCTCGACTATCGTCTGACTTAATGACAATTTTACTCGTTATTAGCATTTACGATTTTTTATAAAACCAATCCCTATTCTCAAAATTAAGCTTAATATAAAAGTTATTTTTTAATAAAATATAATAACATACGTAGCCACCAAATGTTGCCGGGAAAGTTAAGCAACTCGTTGCTGGATGGGGATTTTTCGACCCGTCCGGATTCGAATCCGGGTCCCCGGAGCGGTAGGCTGCCATTTTGACCGCTCGGTCACCCGGCGGCTTTGCTGGGTTTAGAAAGGTATGATGGACAATTCGTAAACAGATAACAAATGGTAAACAAAGATATAAAATGGACTTCCCAATAAGACGGCACCTGGTGGCGAACGTCTGAAGTACGACCGCATTCCTGTCAAGTTTTTGACAGTTAAATAAAAGAAGTGGTATCACCTGTATTCTTACACCATGCTGTAAAAGCACAATATATACACAGTATATTTGACCAATAGCTTATTACATAGAACTTAATTAGTTGTTTCGTCTATTCTAAATTAAGCTGCTCAATGAACCGTGTCATATTATGATATTACCACGAATTCTATAAATACAAGGACAGTTCTGAGAAACTATCAACCGCTAACAAAAGCCTAAGGCAATTTTAACAATAAAACTACTATAAAATAAAAAATCCATTCTAAAAGCTGTGGAAAAATAAATTATACAGCATCTGGATTAACCTGTATTAAAGATATTATTTCGTAAAGGTATGCAAACTTGTCCGTACTTTACGTTAATTGTTTTCGTATCATTCTAGATAAACATCATTCTCTTTATATCTGTAAATATTTCAATTAAAAAAAATAATAAAAAGTATTACAACTTTACGTTTAAATGGATTAAATTTCAATTAGTTTAAAGCTGGACATTTATTGTTTGTATATGTTCTAAAGGTCACAATGAAAAAAAAAGAAAGGAAAAGAATAAAAGATATTATATTCCATGTGACTATGGCACGCATTTATAGTTTTTATTATTTCAATTTTAAAAATATATACTGTAATTTCAATATTAAAAGCTCCTACCATTTTGTAGGCCTTCTTAATATTTTATTGTTCATTTGTGCTATAAGTAATATTGTTTCTATTACTTGTTTTTCATAAATTTTAAGAACTGAATGGAAGCATCTAAAGAGAATATCTCGTTTTATAAGCTGAATAAGTTGAAAACGAATCATCTAAAAATTAATTTATTTAAAAAAATTATTATTATATATATAGATCCAGTGTTAAATTTTCTAATTGGACCGTAGTAGTATCTAAATATTGAGTTGGAAAGGTTGGTTAGTAGAGTGGAACCTCGCCCACGATAACGATCGAATAGAAGTGAAGTTGGCTTCACGACGTATGCAGGTCGGAGTTGTTTGGATCCACTTATGGATATTTTAAAAATGAATTACATTTTATAAAAACAGGTACGATTTTTATCATTAATTAATATTAAAATGTTCATTTTTAAAATCTAAAAAGCGTAAGATATCCAATTGGAATTCTCAAACATTGTAGAATTCGTTTAATTCTTTTCGAACTCGAACTCTTCTAAAATTCGTAATTAAATTACGGAAAAAAACAATTATTGTAAATGTCTGGTGTTTATTTAAATTCTTCTACTTCGCTATCAGACAATTTTATAAAAATTAACTTCATACATACAATTTTTTTTTATCTTGAATTAATTCCGATTCATGCAAACTAACATCTTTTAACGTTAGAGTTATACAGTAATTTTTAAAGTATGTACTGTATTAATCTTCTTTCTTCCTATCCAGTAAAGTATATATTAATTATCATATTCATATTTTATAAATAAAGAATAATTTAAAGAATTTACACAAATAAAATATAATTTAAATATATTTCCTTCGTATCCATTCTTACTTCTTGTAAAACTTTTCATAAATACTTTAACGTTATAGTAAATGTAGTTGATAAGGAGAACAATAAAAATAAATTTACTTAAAAATGTAGTTTTATATATATATATACTCACGAAANATAAAAGTTATTTTTTAATAAAATATAATAACATACGTAGCCACCAAATGTTGCCGGGAAAGTTAAGCAACTCGTTGCTGGATTTTCCTTCGCATATTTTCTAAAATGAATTTATTTAAATTTTAATTTTTTTCCTATAACATTATCGCTGGCTTTAATTTTTGAAATAATATTTTGTTTTGAAGAATTTTTGGAAAATTTTTTTATATGAAAAAAAAGGTAACTTATTTATCTAAAAAATACATTCAGATGAATCCTTTAGAGTTGAATTTATCACTTTGACACGTCTGTAAGCAGTTTCTAAGTTTATAAAAATATCACATGACTGATAAAATAATCATTTTGCAGATAAATTGTGCTTAAGAAATTTTATATCTCTTTCATTTTATAAATTCGATTAAAAGAGAATTCATAAGGTAAAATTTAAATATTTTTTCTGTTTAAATTATATTATAGTTTAGAATTTTTCCACAAATATTATATATAATTTAAAATTTGGGATGTATTATTTATAAATGAAAATATTTCATATAAGTAATGAGTTTATGCGTTTGCCATTCTTTTTGTTACAGTGTATTATATGTTATTACTTATGAAATTATTATAAAATTAATCCACGAAGTATTTAACAATTAAAATGTTTTACTATATAACATTTCATTACTAAAATTTATATCTTAATGTCGTATTTTTACTCTCATCATAATATGTAATATACTGTATTAAGATTCCTTAACTCGGAAATCCAATCAGGACCGAATTTACACACAAAGTGTATACACTTTGCTTACAGCTTTATACTGTGAGTATGCTTTTAAAATTATTACTAATTGGTAGAGGAAAAATCTCTTGTTCACACGACTTATAGCTAAAAATCTGAATCTAACTCTTTATCCGTGAAAAACGACTTTAAATATTCTGGACTCGAAGCTCCATATCAATGTGAGTTTTCATTGGCACTCCATAATTTGGATCAGGGCATTTTTCTCGACCCCATTTCATCGGGTTGACCTTATTGTGTGTAGGGTCTTTCTTCATCAAGAGGCAAACTTAAACTCATTTTATAAATTATACCTTGATGCTTCGTATGTCAAACCAGATTTAGTCTTATATCTATAAACCAATTTTTGAGCAACCCTGCAATAGAGCTTAACCATTACAGTTGCCATGATTCTTTAGGCTGTGATTCTTATTCTTGAATAATGCCAAAAAGTATTTACATCAATCAATCGCACTGTAGTAATGTAATAATATTTCATAATTAATCGATTGGGAAACATAAACATTTATATAAATTCGTGATATTATGGGATAATCTCGTCTGATTTATAGAATTATCCAATAAACAAAATAAAATTTATTCATATTTTTATTCTATCGTTCGCGCCCTACTTACAATATTTGAAATTACTTTAAGTAATTATTACTTGGTTTTAGAATATATTAATAAAAACAATTAATTATTTTTTATTTATATTTTCTTGTAAAATGTTTATTTAAAAATGGTTTGGTTTGATTGATACTGCAATGTAACACAAATCTGCAAAAGAGGATCCTTTCCAGGAAACTTTCTATGCGAAATTAGTCCCCATTTTAGGTGTTAGACACGTGAAGAAAACCTGGAAAAAATTTTTAAAATCAACTTTAATTCAAAATGAATTCAAAGATCAGGAAATTAAATTTTAACTATTCGTTTTTGGTGAAAGAACCACTGGATTAACAATACGTAACTAAAATACACCGTGTGATTGTTTTCACAATATAAAGGGTATTTCCCTCGTACAACAATAACGTGAATGTTAATATGAAAGAAACGTCCTTCATATTTATCACTGTATGAGATAACCTATGCCCAATAACTTCAAATAAGATGTAAGAGATGTACAGTACATACACGAGAAGGATGCCATATGAGAATGAATATAGGCTACCTAGAGAGAGAGGGGGGAGTAGAAAATAATATATCAAATAATATTTCCTGATATTATTTCTATACATAATAATTGACATTATTTAATGGAGTGAATTAAATGAGGCTGGAAGTGAAGTTCATATATCAATAAAATATAATGTTCTTTACAGAAAAACTCTATTTTATTCCAATGTCATTAAAGAAATGACCATGACTAAAGTATAATCATCTGTAATTTTAGATAACGAGTCGTTTGTCGTCATTATAAATGATTATCAATATCAGTCACTTAATACAGACACACCTTCCTAGATAAGACACAAAGACATTGTTAGATGACCTATATTTTATATATTACTTTTAAAAAATTACGTCAATTTTTACGTAAAAAGTGATAAATTAAAATTTATAAAGCTTTATCATTATTTAAAATCTGAAAATGCAATATAATGATTTAATAACTATGAAATATTATTTTTTTATTACATATTATATAAAATGGCGACAATAAAACATAATTTAATTAGTTAAAATTATATTAAAATAATGGTTTTTATGATTTGTTTCAATGTAATTATTTTTACACGTTTATAACCCGTAAAAAGTAATTATAACAGTGTTACTGTATAACATTAGCTTTCATATTTTATTACAGTTGGAGATGAATTAATTATTTTTAAGCAATAAAATGATAGATTAGAATACAATATATCATTTTAATTTTCAATATATAGGATAATTCAAACTTAAGTATTCTTATATGATGGCGTATCTCTTCTCGATGTCTGAGAAGCACACTTTTCAGATCATGTAAAAGAGATGTTGGCAAGACAAGAATATTGCAAATACTCACCGATAGGGAAAATGTGTCGCCACGCGCGTGAACCGGATGGGTGTGAGACTAGAAGTTAAACAAAGTTATCAAAGGCGTACTAAATTTAATCAGTGGAGTTTAATGCGTTCAATGCTGTGCATACAAAATAGCTTGATATAATAGGTGAGAAAGCTTTCGGAGTTGTGTTCGTTTTTACCAACTTAGACGCCTTATCAGTGCCTGATTACCGAACAGGTTGACTAGGCTATAGCCTTGTACGCAATTCTATGGGCACACAGAAGTTGTTTTTGCAACAATTTACCAAAATCGAGTCCACTAAGCTTGTGTAATTCCCTATTACAAAAATGGAAAAAAATTACGTTAGGACGTAAATATAATTTTTGTAAATGGCGCACAAATTGTTAGCAGCCTGCAGTTCTCATAATCAGATACTGCACCTTATGGCTATAAAAATTTCATCGTGTCTTTCCGCTTTCAGTGCCATATTTTCCTTATCGGCGAGGATTTGAACTGTTTTGTTAATCCCCAAAATCTCTCTGGGAAGTGTACCAAGTATGACAGAGTTTCACCTTGATATTTCTGTGTTATATCGTCTCATCGTGTTACGATTTTACTGTAAATAAATTTATAATCTTATTGTCTTAACGGTGCACTTGTTTTTTACTTCCTAATTCTATTTTATTATTTTAATGGTAAAACAGTTTCCAATGTCACGGTTTTAACAGTGTATTTTTTTATGTATATTGTTTGTCTCTCACTGCTATTACTACTTCATGTATCGTACCGTCAAATCTACTCAAACACTTGTAAGTTAATAATTATCATCCGTATGTTTTTTTTAAACTCTTTCCGCCCTGTGGGCACTAAGAGGGCCTCTTTTTGCAAGCCCATTATGGGTTCGGCCAGGCCCACAATGGGGCTGCCGGGTGGTGAGGGACGGGGCCCGACATATCCGAACGGACCGCCCCCCGAAAAGTTCCTGGGGATTTATTGCCCCGTCCGGATTCGAACCCGGGTCCCCCAGAGCGATAGGCTGCCACCTTGACCGCATTAAGAGAGAATTTTTAATCATAGCCATTTTGGGTTGGCCGGATGGTTGAGCAATTATGGTGATAGCCTACTGTTCTGAGAAATCCGGGGTCGAATCTGGACAGATGAAAAACTTCCAAGAATTTTTCAGGGTCCATCCTATACCACCGGTTATCCCATTGCGGGCCTGGCTCGAACCCACAACAAGAGTAATTAAACGGACCATCCTATTTGTGCCCACAAGGCAAAGTTTAGAAACAAACCCGCATCTTTGAGAATGAAAATGGACTAGTCATTAGTTATATCGGAACTTTACTTGGAGATACTGTAATCAATAAATTTCTAGCCCCAAACCTTCTACTTTGAAACTTGTAGTTTTAATAAGACAGTACTATGGCCCATTCAGCAATGATTAACACGATCGCTCGTTGCCGTTTGCTTTCGTAGAGGGCATTTTCTCGTAAATTTGCATTCAAAATTAAAATTTTAAAAAACTTTTTAAAAAGCAGGCAAATTTATAAAACAAAAATTGATAAAATTAAAAAAAATTAAAATTAATTGAAATTTGATTATCTTTTGTACAAAACAACAAAACAATTTCTGTAGTTATGTTGCAAAAACAAAAAAGAGTTACAATTAATTAAAAAAAATTATAATTAAGGATTTAAAAATGCAGGTAAAATTAAATAAAAAATAATAAATTAAACCTAAAAATTAATTAAAACCAAAAATAATAACATAATTAAAACTCTGGTTTTTACACAGGCCTTGATAAATTACAAGAATGAATGGTCTGGGTCTCACAGATTCATACGAGTAAACCTGTGTGTATTTTTCCACAATGCTTTTTAAGTTATAAAAAAGTATCAATTCTACTTACAGAAGGTGTTTTAATACATGTAAAAGCCCTTTCTTTCAATAATCTCAACTTTTTCCTAAGATATATATATATAAATCATTGTAAGGTAATACAGCAGTATGTTCACTGCAAGCGAAATATGAATGCTTCGTACAGAGATCAAAAGCACGTATGATAGTAATGTAATTGTTCACTAGATACATAGCATTAAAACATAAATACATAACGAAAATATACTGCAAAAGTCGCATAGGTCTGTAAGAACCGGTCCATTCATTATTCAAAAATCAAATATAAAGAATAGTTGCTAAGTGAGCACTAAAACCTTATTTCTGTATTATACAGTTTGACACTTTATCAGGCGGCCCTCAAAACCAAAAAAGCTTTAGGTTTTCTACCCTGGATTAAGAGAAAATGTAATGTAATATCTCACGAATAATTTAATACGCTTCATCTTTGCTGTGAATTAAGAGGCCATCTCGGAACATAAAGGAGCGAGATCTATTTCCATAACAATTTTATCATCTTTCGTCTTTCTGTCCCGTGGATGCTAAAAGGATCCATTTTTCGAGCCTATCACGGGATCGATTTGGCCCATAACGGGGCGGCCGGGTGGTGAGGGACGGGCCCGACTTATCCGGGTCGGGACACTCCCGAAAAATTCACGATCAGTTCCTGTAGAGCAGTTGGCTGATACGCCTTATTTTCAAAACCGTAAACCATAGACTATTCCCATTTGCCATCTATTTGTGGCAATACACATCCTAGTATGTTCGTGTCTCGCCATTTCTCTCGTCTCTGTGCCGATCATTTAAACATATAACAATTTTCGCATGTGTTTTTATTAGCTTCCTCCAAACATCCTTACATTTTGTATTTGAAATTCTTTTCTCTTTGAAAAGTCTGAAATACGACTTTATTGAAGTCAACTTTGATAATAATTATTAGTTTTAATTATATTAGATTAATTTTAAAATATTCATTAAAGTACGGGTATAATAATCTATTTACAAGATATATTAAACGTTTTTTATGTTCATTATATTTACTATTATTTGTTTATACATTTATAAACGCAAGAAGTATTTTATTACATTTAATAGATATTTCTCTTGACAAGATTATATTCTTATATAACTACTTCTTGGAGCCATTGTTAACTCCAAGAAGTAGTTATAAGAATATGAGGAGGGATTTGTTAAGCCACACAGGGGCCGTGTTAAAACACGTATTAACTCGCCTTCCTTCCTAGTCGCGGGTTTAGATCACGCACGACTTCGTAAAAAGAACAGCAATGAGTAATACTGTAAATCATACAGTACATATACCTCTAGTCACTCACCAAAGATAAGCTCGACTGCACAAAAGATTCTACCAATTTTATATACTGTGCTCCATCCGTAGACAAACCCACCAGTACACAGACGAGGTATTCTCATAATTTATGGGTAATCTTTTTTTTTCAATGCTAGCGGGTGTCTATAGCTATTTACTTGATGTCCTAATTTTGCGCATGCTCTAAACTTTTTTTTTTATTAGTTATATTATTGGCTAACACGAGTACGAAAGTTTTTGAAAAGTGTAAACGACAACTTTTACGCTTTAACAGTGACCACGTGGTAGTTTTTTATCGATTACATAATTGCTTATTATGCCGAATTGAAAGGTATTTATCTCCTAAATATGTTTATTATAAAAAAAAACATCTTTTTAATATGTTTACGATTATCATTTTTCAAGGTTATTACGGAGTGTTATAACGGAACCAAAGAGTTTACAGTTATAGTGAAGATTAAATTTATTTTTAGTTTTGTAATTAAAATTCTGAACTTTATATATATATTTCATAATTAATAAAAGATAAAACTAGACAAATGAAATGGGCTTAAAAAATTTTTAAGTCATGTAGCTAAATGAGTTAATTGGTTAAGATTATTAATTAATTTCACTTTTGTTCCAGTTAAATTACAGAAATATTGTGGAATAAAAGGTATTTTGAACTACTTTAATTTTTGATCAATTTGGTTTACAGTTTCATAATAAATAACATTATTATATTTTGTGTTTTTGAATGTAAAAAGCAATTTTTTTAAAATATTTATATTCATATTCCTATATATTATCAAAAATCTTAAGTTTTGTTCATTTAAGAATACAATTCAAACAGTAATTTTGATATTTTTAATTTTACCAAATATAATGTGATTATGTTTATATTTATCTTTTGTTTTTAAAGTATTTACGGTAGAAACTCTCCGTCGGAAAAATAAATCGCATCGAATTGATTTAAAACTTAAAATCACCTGTCGATTTTAACTTGTTAGTACATAATTAAAGAGAGAACATTGGGAATTATTTAGTATATCTACCTGTGTATAAAAGATAATGTCTTTTGTGAATATATTAATTATTAGTTATTGATAAATATGCCACTTTATGAGAATTATATAAATCAATAACAGCTGTAAATAGTATATTCTTTTGTACCTTCATTCAGAGACTTATTTTCTGCTATTCAAATAACTAACTGATAATCTAACTTACGGAGGTGATTGAATGAACTAAATCTCTACTTGAGAGATTAATATGAAGATTGAATAAACTCTGAACATTATATAGTCCAGTAAAAAAGTTTGAGACTATCTGGATTTTCAAACTTCTCATTAAAATTAACTGATCTCCTGTAAATATGTTGTTGTTTAGGTATTTAGGTAACCGTAAATCAAATATGAAGTAAAAACTTATTTTCATATTTAAGAACTTCAAATACAGCAAATTATTGATTGAAATTTGTGAGGAAAACAGTTTGAGATCAGGATCAAAAAGCATAACAAAACAAAACATAGTGGGAAAAACAATGTTTAATATTTGGTTAGTTTACCATTAAGCTGAATAACATCAATAAATTGATTGGTCATGGAGATAGTAAGAGTTGTTAGCTTTTCAGGAACAATTACATCTCAAACAGTCACAATTGCTTTTTTATGATCAAACATTATGAAATTGTTTTTCATTGGCATAAACTACTCTTACTAAATCAATCCAAATATTTTCTATTGGGTTGAAATCCAGGCTATGGAGTGGTCACAGCAAAACGTTGATCAAATCTCTTTTTAAACGTGGCAAAAGTTTTAATTTATGCGGCTTTAACGGCTGTCTTTGCTTAACATAGATATGTTTTCCTCGGAAAATAAGGCAATAGAGAATATGCTATTTTTGTTTATTAAGATAAAAATATTTGTTATTAACCAAAAATTTGTTCTAGCAGGTCGTGATTGTTTGGTCGAGTACCGAGATACCACTGTATTTGATTAACGCAATTTTGATAATGTAGTAGCATAGAGGGATTAATTTACTGTGTTAATTGAGGGATATTTGTATTTTAAATTCTGTGAAAAAGTTTAAATAAATTAATATGAAAAATATATTTTTAAGAAATATATCTGTTATAAAATAACAGTTTCCTTTCTGTTAAAATAACTTTGATTAGCTAATTAAAGATTAAAATATGTAGAAATATAACAAGAAGTCATGAATAAGCTTTAAGTAAAGTCAAACAGAAACTATTTAGAAGGGTTTTATTATATAAGTTTGATGATAAAAGTTTTCACCAACTTCTTTTGACCTGACATGTAACAATGTGCTTGAAATCACCCACATCTTTCCCTTGATTTTTGTCCAGGTCTTTACTGCATAACATAGCCAAACAAATTTTAGTTTACGGAATACTAGCATGCCAGATTATCAGCTACTTTTCAAAGGATGCTAGATTACTGGACATTTTGGATTATTGGGTATAACAAATTGAAATATAACAAATTTCTTCTGTATTTGAAAAACTATAAAACCAATCAATACAAACAAGAAAGATTTCAAATATTTTTCAAATTATTATTGTTAGTTATTATGCTTTCTACAAAACATTTTATATACTACAGTATTAACTTATTGTTATCTATTTGGTTTTTAAATTGATAAAGATAAATTGATAGTAAATTTATTTTAAAACATAAAGTTTTTTCTATTCATTTTCATATTATTCTTAAATAGACATTTGAAGTTCTCTCTGTCAGACTATTACAAAAATGCAGAGCATCCATTTTATATTATTTAATTCAGTGATGATTTAACATTTCAAGTTAGATTATTTTGTTCGGGATGTATTAAGTGGTGATCCATTAAATTGAAGTGATGTTGTATGCTGAAATTTCAGTATTAGATAGTTATATCTTGATTTTTCTGTTCTGAGCAAAATTTTTGGATTTTCTCTTAGTGGATCCTATTGATTTATTATATTGATTAGAATACAATCTTTATATTTTAATATGATAATAACTAAAAAATATATTACATGCAATTTATTATAATTTATAATTTGTTTTATATAAAATTATATATTTACAGAAAATGGCCACAGATATAAAATCTGAAATTGGTTATTTGAACCAAACATTAGATGAATGTGATCCAGAATTGTTTGAAATTATCCAGAAGGAGAAGAAAAGGCAAACAAGAGGTTTAGAGATGATTGCATCTGAAAACTTTACCAGTAGAGCTGTCCTTCATTCTCTCAGTACTTGTTTGCATAACAAATATTCTGAAGGTTATCCTGGTTTTCGGTAAATATCAGAAATTTTTCGTTTAAACTTATTTATAATTTACAGTTTATCATAATCTTTGTTTCTTCATATTTGAGCTGTCATCATCTTCAAACAATTATCTTTCTAAGACTTATGTTAATGTAATATAATCAATGAAAACAGTCTTAGAAATAACATTGATTACAGTTATCTCATATATATTTTAATTACATCTTGCTTTAGATCATTTATTGTATGTTATCTTGCTTAATTTTAGAATATAAAATGCATTACTATTTTATTTTAGTCATCAATTTACAGATCTTTCTCATGAAAATTTCTCATTCATTTAATTTGACCAAAATATTTTTTGTACGAAAAAATTAATTTGTTTACTCAAACTGTTTCATATTTGTTACTCTCAGAAGTATAAATTGAAGAATACACTTTGAATTCCCTCAATTGTTGTTTTTCTAGTTACATTCTTAAAGGTGGTTAGTTTAAATCCAAAAATATTTTAATCATCTGATTTATAATTTTTTTGTTCCAAAAAATTGATTATTTTTTTTTCTATAATAAGTTTTTTTCTAGTTTTTCTGTCCTTGGGCACTAAGAACGGTTTTGATTGTATCCATCATGGATTAATCCAGGCCATGGTTATGGTTTGGGGACCAAGCAGATTGGGTCAATTCACTCTAAAAATTTCTGAATCAGGTCTAGACTCGAACTTGGATCTAAGGTTGCCAAGTTTCAGAGTAATAAATTCTGAACACATTGTGAAAAAATACCAACTTGAAAAAAGTGATGAGTGAAAGAAAATCTATAAATTTGGAAACATTTTTTCCTTTCCTTGATGATGATGATGATAATAATAAGATAGCCAAATGGATGAGGCAGTTAAGGTGTTTGCTTACTTATTGGAGTCCCAGAATCAAATCTGAGCAAGCAATCCTAGGTAGTTTTGTGAGCAGTTCATTCCAGATATATTGGGCCCTTTCTCTCACCATCTCAATTGTGGGGCAGCAGAGTGTTACTTAATAAAGCTTGACTATTTTAAACTTTTTCTCTATAAAAACATCTTAAAATTAGATTCCAAACTTATGGTATGTCTTAGCATCAAGGAAATATTATATATTTTTTGAATAAACATCATTAGTCCAAATATTTATGAAAAAAAATTATTTTACAATCATATAAAATTTACTGATTCCAGTATTAGTCAGTAGGAAAATTCAGATTCATTAATAGTCAGTAAAATTTTAAAAATTAAAATATTATTTTTATAATATATAAAATTTATTTTTCTATTTTAATATATTATGGTGTATATTTCCAGAAATGTTTTCATTGATATGATATTTTACTGTTCTATGGTATTTGCACAAGTCAGTTTTGGAAAATTCAAATTCACAGTCATATTTTTTGTAATTGTTTATTTCAGGTATTATGGTGGAAATGAGTTTATTGATGAAGTAGAAAGATTGTGTCAGAAAAGAGCTCTTGAAGCCTTTGATCTAGATCCATCATTATGGGGAGTTAATGTTCAGCCATATTCGGGGTCACCTGCAAACTTTGCTGTCTATACTGGAATTGTTGAACCTCATGGAAGAATTATGGGATTAGATCTTCCAGATGGTGGTCATTTAACACATGGCTATATGACTGAAAAGAAACGTATATCTGCCACTTCAATTTTTTTTGAATCAATGCCGTATAAAGTTGATCCAGCAACTGGTCTGATTGATTATGACAAATTACAATTAAATTCAAAACTCTTTAAACCAAAATTAATTATCGCAGGTATGTTATTGCTACTGCAAGAATGGATAAGTATATTTACTATTTTTACAGTTTATTGTATAAGTCTTTTTCCTAATTAAGTCTATCTAATGAGTCTGTATGTTTTAATTATTCATGCATTTTACTAAAATAAATTATTTTATTAATTCAATTAAATATAAGTTTTTCTAATTTGATGTAAGGCAAATGAAAATAGTTTTGATAGTAATAAAGCTATAACATAAAGATTATACAGTAATACCCCGAACTTACGCGATAGGTGGGACCGAGCGATAACCGCGTAAGTCGAATTCGTGTAAGTCGGGGTATAATTTTTCAATGTGTGTAAAATCCAAGTCGGATGTATGTAAGCTAATAAATGTTCTTGTTAATCTTATCTCGTCTTTTGATTCGTTCATTGTTACAAGAAATCAGCACATAGAGTCTCTCGAGTCTCCGTAGAACAAACACAGAAATAAATAACACAAAATAAATTGTAGCTATGTGTCGATTCCGTGCGACACGTCCGAACATGTAAGTTGAACAATAGTGTGGAGGGAATGAGTAATCAAGAGTTGCGTGGTGCTCAAACAAAAGACGAATCGACGAGATTTGATTTGAAAAGACGAATCGCGTAACTCCAGGTTTGCGTAAGTTGGGGTAGCGTAAGTCGAGGTATCACTGTATTCTATATTTAGGCTTTTTTTTTATCATTTTAATTTTTCATACCTGTCATGAGATTATCCAGACCCATAAGGAAAATGTGATGAGGATAGGGCTTGAAATAGGGTAACATGATCTCTAAAACTTTTGAGGTTTCAACCTGTATTTAAATCAGAGTTGTATGTGCAGAGTAATGGTAGTCTTATGCTGCTGTCTTAGCTATTTGACTAGCCACCTATATGCTTTAGTTTATTTAATTTAGTTTGTCTTAATGATAAATGCATTTACATCCATTGTTTATGATTTGAGATAATATACATTTCAAAATATTATATATATCTAATGGCTAGTTTATTACAAATTCTGTTTCTAATTAATATATTTATTTCTATATAACTTTTAGAAAAGAGTTAAATTCATTTAAAAAATTATAGTTTAAATTTTATTATATGTGATACTTCATATAAATTTTTAGTTTTATGCTCAATAATTAAACTTTATTTCAAGTATTGCACTTAATTTTTTATAGTAATAATGTATATTTAATTCTATAGGAGTAAGCTGTTATCCTCGAGATTTAGATTATAAACGATTTAGAAAAATAGCAGATGAAGTCGGTGCTTATCTCATGGCTGATATGGCTCACGTTAGTGGTCTGGTAGCCACAAAGTTGGCACCCAATCCATTTGAATATTGTGATGTTGTGACAACAACAACGCACAAAACATTACGTGGACCAAGAGCAGGAATAATATTTTACAGAAAAGGTAAATTCAATAATATGTTAATTAATAAACTGAAAGAAATTATGACTTATTTTAATTTATATTGATAATTTACTATTTTATGATATTTATTAATTTGCTGATACATTACATTTACAGATTGAGGATTGAGGAGAATACACAAAAATGTATTCTTCTCAATCTCTGAAATACTTCATCAAAAAATTATGAAAGTTTAGAGAATACCACACTTAATTTTTAGAATGATAGTGAATTTTTTCTTTCAAAACTATGCAGCAGTTATTTTAATATTTTAAATATAATATTGAATTTTATGCAATGTTAAGTTAATCATTGTGTACATTGGTAAAATTTAAGAAGTATGCTTTATTAAAAAATTCAAGTAAGGACAATAATAAGTAAATTAAGAAGTTCTCAAAATTTAAAAAAATAATTATAAATCAGTATTTAAAATATCACAAACAAGTTTTCATATAAAAAAATAAATTCGGAATAGCTGCTTTATTAGATGTATAAACCAAATCAAACGTTTGGTTTTGTTTGGAATTACAAATGTTTTTAAGTATGTAACAATCTTCAGAATCACTTATTTAAATAAGTAAAACAATTGAGGTTACAGTGAAAAAATAATTGAACATCTCATAGTGAGATGATCTTAAACAAACATTTTATTTCATTTTATTATATCTAACATGTCTTCAGGAATACTTCAGAGCAGAAATTTTCAATAATGTAAATATCTTTCATATGAGATTAGAAATGTAACTACTGTATTGGACCTGTAACTACTAGAAATGACATTATATATTTGTATAATATTTGATGTAAAATGAAAATAATAGTTTTTTCATAACTCAATTAATATTTTCTCTTTTGTGAAGGTGTTCGGTCTGTAAATAAACTTGGCGAAAAAGAAATGTATAATTTGGAAGAAAAAATTAATCAAGCTGTATTTCCTGGACTGCAAGGTGGACCACACAACAATACTATTGCTGGTAACTTTTTGTTTTAATGTATTTAATTAATCTAAATATAAAATTTTAATGAATAAAATATCTTTTATGTTGTTTGCATTTATAAATAGAATTTTATTTATTTAACATAGTGCATCTTTATGATTTTTTCCATGTACACACATAATCTTCAAAACAGATACCTGAATACTTGATATTCATCACTACTCTTAGTAGCTTTAGACAACTTTGTAATTGAATTTAAATTGGTATATTGCCTACCTTATTGTATAACCTGCACTCATTATCAAAGTGCATTTCAAACACAGATAACCTGTGGATTATAAGCATGAATATATGATAATATGCTTACTATAATGCTGTCTATATTCATTTTGTTCCCAATTGAGGAGTGCCATGGAATTATCTTTCCAGGAGCTCTCACAAGCTCAGCATTAACCATGATTTTATATATATATATATATATATATATTGTAATTGTATGCTGAAATTTGCCATTTCTTGAATTTCTAGCACACTATAATAGATTTTTATTTCAGAATCATTAGTTTTTCTGTTTCCTTCTTGAAATGCTAACCTGGTTTCTTCAGATATTTCAGCATTTGCAATATATTTATAATATGGTGTTTTTATAGTAGCTAGTAAATATGTCTTTGCTATATACTGGTGAATTATTCTAGCTACCTGGTTTTGTCTGTGTAAATTGTCTGTTTGGACCAGGCTTTTACAGCTGCTTGTGATATGCTATAGTTTCTTATGCAGAATGACATTTCCTATATGTGTCATCCATGGTAACTTTGATTATGTGCTTCCTGTACTAATGACTTGGTCCTGTACTGCAATCATAAAGACCCATAGAGATTCCCATCTCTCAGCCAATGGTTTGATGCTGCTTTATCAACATGTGCAAAATCAGTTGAGTGTCTGCTGTGGAGTGTTTTTACCATCCATGTTTACTGTTTTGTGTTCTTTGTACTTTGGGTGATCCTTAGGTTTAATGGTATATAATTATCATCAGTCCAGATAATTTTATAGTGTAGTGATGATGATTGTTAAGTTTAGAAGAAGCTTTGTAGTGAGTCTATCTGTTTCTGATGGAGAATCTTAATGACAATGAGACCTCTACTACCCTCTGAGCATGAGAGGGTAAACGTTTTGTTAGCCTAATCTGGATGATGCAGTCAATATTTAGTAAATATTACTCAGATTTTATGGTTGGAGTCCTCAAGGTCTGTGTTGGTTCACTGAATAATGCCAAACAAGTTGATAAATAGTAGAATAGCATGTGTTGATGGCTTTTATTAGGTTTTTGGAGTTTATGTATGTTTTTATTATTGATTTTAGTCTGTTACAATATAGTTTAGTAAGTTCTGTTTTTACTGTTTTGTGTTCAATTAGTTTAGTTTGTGAAACCCCAGATATCTATAGGTTTCTCCTTTCTTTGTGGTTATGTAATCTCTGCTGTCAAGTTTGAAGGGATCCCCTTGAAGCTCCCTTTTTCAATGTGCAGTGTTTTACAATTATCAATGCTAAATTCTATCTAGATATCCTGAGGAAAGTCTGTACAATCTTCAGGAGTTGTTTATTACCATTAGCAATAAAAGAGGGGATTTATAAAAGGTCGAGAAATCCTTGAAGAGTTCAACATTCAAAAAGTTTGGGGACCTTGATTTATATAAAAGAATTTTTCTATAAATAAATTTAATTTTTAAAATTTTAATTCTGCTTTCAGGTATTGCTACTGCTCTCAAACAAGTTCGGATGCCCGAATTCTATTCTTATCAGAAACAAGTTGTAGCAAATGCAAAAACACTTGCTCGACTTTTACAAGAAAAAGGCTACAAATGCATCTCAGGTACATTTTTATTTAGTAAAAAATAATTACAAATAAAAACCGAAAAGCAAGATAACATCAATATAAATCTTAGTTACTTTTATATTTTAGAAGTGAACATTTTATTGTATTTTAGGTGGCACAGATAATCATATAGTTTGGGTTGATCTTCGATCAAAGGGAATAAATGGTTCACGTGCAGAAAGAGTTTTGGAAGACATATCCATTGCTTGCAATAAAAATACTGTACCTGGGGATAAGAATGCTTTTAATCCCAGTGGAATTAGATTGGGAACGCCTGCTCTTACCACTAGAGGCTTAAAAGAATCTGATATCGAACAAGTGGTTGATTTCATTGATAGAGGTAAATTAAATTTTTATCATTTTAAAAATTTTTATATATACAGTTTGATCATGATTTACATTGTCTTATATTGTACAGTTTAAAATAATATATATCTTACATGCATAAAGATTAAAGTAACTTGTTTTATGTTCATACTGTAAAAAAAAGCTTTGAGTAATATTTACAGTTTACTTATATTTTTTATTTGTACTATACTAATAAATTTAAACAGCATTTTATGTGAAAATGTTTCCATATACAATATATATATATTGTATATGGAAATTTTATTTTATCAACTTAAATTGCTATATATTGATGACCACTGCAGCATTTACAAAATGAATTCTAAATTTTAATATACTGTTATTGAATGATTTGTCTTATTTTCTACAAATCTTTGTTTACACAGCATTCCAAGAACACAACCCAAAAAAGTCCTAAAAAAAATTTTTAGGACTCAATTTCTTGAGTTGTCATATTAAATAATTAAAATAGAAATTATAACTTGTAAACTGAAACTGTCACATTTGTTTTACAATAGGTTTGTTCTAACACAAGTCCCTAACTGGTTTGAATTTGAAACCGTATGAGGCATGCACAATGTCATTTTACAGCCAAGAACTGAACAATGTTTTAAACCAGTTAGGGGCTTGTGTTGGAACAAACCTAATATTTGCAAGTTAGAATTTTAAAAGTACATTTTCTGTCACTCAGCCTAGGGATAAGATGGAGATAACTTTGGGTGGAGGTGTGAAGTTAGTCTTTAACTGTTAAAATAAAATACTCACTAATATTTTTATAAATTTAATTTGTTTTATCATAATTTCAGAATTTTTACAAAAACTAGGCAAATTAATAATTAATCTGGACCATGAATTTAAAAACTGGCTTGTCCAGATGAAAACCGACCTGGTGGCAACACTAGTCACATGGCCCCCTACCCATTTACAGTTTTAGAGTTGCATTCAATATGGCTGCCATCTTGACACATGGCCATATTGATGATGGCTGTGTGTGTAACACAACAATCTGTTTCACCTTTGGTCTAATGTGTTCCTGACATGAACAAATTAACTTTGGGTACATTCTACATTCTGTAGCAGGATGTTAAGTAACTTTCTTTCCTACCCTGTATATTTGTTGTTATCCATTCTCCTGAATGATGAAAAGATGGAAAATGAATGATGTTGCATGCTTTTGCTTATCTACTGGCACAAACTTCTGATTAATATACAATTAATATATATGGCTATAATTCCACAATTTTTCATTTGATTGTTGTTATAAATTAAAACTAGAGATAGACAATACTGCAATTTCATATTAAATTTAATAGTATTTAATATCTAAAAAAATTTGCTTGTTTATATATGGATGTTTGGGTTAAGTATCTATCATTTCAGCCATTTATTGTTGTGATTGTTACTATGTTTTAGGCCTTCCATTGAGTTGAACAATCTAGAAATTCCATTTTGTTATACATGCAGACTTTATTCTAAATTCTCACATTAAAATATATTGTAAATGCTTGCTCAGTAATTGATATGATTTGCTCTGTACTTTCTTACAAATGGCACTGATTCTAATCTGATAAGTATTTTTAGACAATGAAAAATTTAAAAAGCAAATATAATACTTTTTATTTGCAAAAGTTGATTTTTGAATATTTGAAATATAAATTTAATTCTGATTTCCCTAAGTAAAAAAGATTATTTATTGGTTTAATAAAATATATTATTTTATATTAATTGCCATACAAAATTTAACGTTGATCATTTATTTAGGTTTAGATATAGCTGTTGAAGTAAAAGCTGCAAGTGGTCCTACACTGAAAGAATTTAAAGCAAAACTTGAAGAAAATAAATTTCAAGAGAAATTGAAAATGTTAAGAGAAGAAGTTGAAAATTTTGCAATGAAATTTCCTCTTCCTGGCTATGAAGATTTTTAATTCTTTTTCACATTCCATACATGAAAATTACCTATCAATATTTGGATCCAATTTTTATAAATTTTGTTAATTTTAATTTGAAATGTAAATGAATTATATTATGTTTTATATGAATAATATTTTTATATCAAATCAAATAGTTTTAATAAAACATATTTGTTATTGTGTTTTATACATTTTAACTAAAACATCAAATATTTTGATTATGTAATTAATCAAATTTTAATGGATACTTTTTATATGTCTGGTTGAAATTATAATTTGACTTCTACTAATGGTATTAAGAGTTTATATATATATCAACTCTTAATACCATTAGTCAAAATGATTTGTATATTAAGTAATTAAAGATTCTTTGAAGTTATACCAAAATGATTTGTATATTAAGTAATTTTCTGTTTTAAGTGGGTGTATAGTTGAATGCTATAGAAGTACAGGTAACCCCCGTATAACATGGCACTTCTATAGCGCGGATTCACTCTAACACGGTTCGAGAATTGGGACCATCCCCGTATAACACGGTACTGTTATAGCACGGATTCACTGTGACACGGTTCGAGAATTGGGTAAACCCTTGTACAACAGGAAATGTAATAAATTTTACATACTTAAGTACTAATAGTTCATGAAAATTATTTTCGTGAACTATTAGTACTTAAGTATGTAAATTTTTTTTTCTCGCCTTCTGTCAATACAATGGTCTTTCTTGAAACTTGTTTCAATGTTGCCAGATTTCGACGCTTCTGATGTTGCCAGACGTTTTTCCCTTATTCCATACTTGCTTTATTTTTCATAAGTGCTTAGCACCATATAAGGAAATTTATAAAGATCTTTTAACTAGAAGCAACCAATCTAAAATTACATACATTTTGCAAAAGGTAAAGCATAGATCTGAAGATAATGCAGAAAANGGTGTATATTTCCAGAAATGTTTTCATTGATATGATATTTTACTGTTCTATGGTATTTGCACAAGTCAGTTTTGGAAAATTCAAATTCACAGTCATATTTTTTGTAATTGTTTATTTCAGGTATTATGGTGGAAATGAGTTTATTGATGAAGTAGAAAGATTGTGTCAGAAAAGAGCTCTTGAAGCCTTTGATCTAGATCCATCATTATGGGGAGTTAATGTTCAGCCATATTCGGGGTCACCTGCAAACTTTGCTGTCTATACTGGAATTGTTGAACCTCATGGAAGAATTATGGGATTAGATCTTCCAGATGGTGGTCATTTAACACATGGCTATATGACTGAAAAGAAACGTATATCTGCCACTTCAATTTTTTTTGAATCAATGCCGTATAAAGTTGATCCAGCAACTGGTCTGATTGATTATGACAAATTACAATTAAATTCAAAACTCTTTAAACCAAAATTAATTATCGCAGGTATGTTATTGCTACTGCAAGAATGGATAAGTATATTTACTATTTTTACAGTTTATTGTATAAGTCTTTTTCCTAATTAAGTCTATCTAATGAGTCTGTATGTTTTAATTATTCATGCATTTTACTAAAATAAATTATTTTATTAATTCAATTAAATATAAGTTTTTCTAATTTGATGTAAGGCAAATGAAAATAGTTTTGATAGTAATAAAGCTATAACATAAAGATTATACAGTAATACCCCGAACTTACGCGATAGGTGGGACCGAGCGATAACCGCGTAAGTCGAATTCGTGTAAGTCGGGGTATAATTTTTCAATGTGTGTAAAATCCAAGTCGGATGTATGTAAGCTAATAAATGTTCTTGTTAATCTTATCTCGTCTTTTGATTCGTTCATTGTTACAAGAAATCAGCACATAGAGTCTCTCGAGTCTCCGTAGAACAAACACAGAAATAAATAACACAAAATAAATTGTAGCTATGTGTCGATTCCGTGCGACACGTCCGAACATGTAAGTTGAACAATAGTGTGGAGGGAATGAGTAATCAAGAGTTGCGTGGTGCTCAAACAAAAGACGAATCGACGAGATTTGATTTGAAAAGACGAATCGCGTAACTCCAGGTTTGCGTAAGTTGGGGTAGCGTAAGTCGAGGTATCACTGTATTCTATATTTAGGCTTTTTTTTTATCATTTTAATTTTTCATACCTGTCATGAGATTATCCAGACCCATAAGGAAAATGTGATGAGGATAGGGCTTGAAATAGGGTAACATGATCTCTAAAACTTTTGAGGTTTCAACCTGTATTTAAATCAGAGTTGTATGTGCAGAGTAATGGTAGTCTTATGCTGCTGTCTTAGCTATTTGACTAGCCACCTATATGCTTTAGTTTATTTAATTTAGTTTGTCTTAATGATAAATGCATTTACATCCATTGTTTATGATTTGAGATAATATACATTTCAAAATATTATATATATCTAATGGCTAGTTTATTACAAATTCTGTTTCTAATTAATATATTTATTTCTATATAACTTTTAGAAAAGAGTTAAATTCATTTAAAAAATTATAGTTTAAATTTTATTATATGTGATACTTCATATAAATTTTTAGTTTTATGCTCAATAATTAAACTTTATTTCAAGTATTGCACTTAATTTTTTATAGTAATAATGTATATTTAATTCTATAGGAGTAAGCTGTTATCCTCGAGATTTAGATTATAAGCGATTTAGAAAAATAGCAGATGAAGTCGGTGCTTATCTCATGGCTGATATGGCTCACGTTAGTGGTCTGGTAGCCACAAAGTTGGCACCCAATCCATTTGAATATTGTGATGTTGTGACAACAACAACACACAAAACATTACGTGGACCAAGAGCAGGAATAATATTTTACAGAAAAGGTAAATTCAATAATATGTTAATTAATAAACTGAAAGAAATTATGACTTATTTTAATTTATATTGATAATTTACTATTTTATGATATTTATTAATTTGCTGATACATTACATTTACAGATTGAGGATTGAGGAGAATACACAAAAATGTATTCTTCTCAATCTCTGAAATACTTCATCAAAAAATTATGAAAGTTTAGAGAATACCACACTTAATTTTTAGAATGATAGTGAATTTTTTCTTTCAAAACTATGCAGCAGTTATTTTAATATTTTAAATATAATATTGAATTTTATGCAATGTTAAGTTAATCATTGTGTACATTGGTAAAATTTAAGAAGTATGCTTTATTAAAAAATTCAAGTAAGGACAATAATAAGTAAATTAAGAAGTTCTCAAAATTTAAAAAAATAATTATAAATCAGTATTTAAAATATCACAAACAAGTTTTCATATAAAAAAATAAATTCGGAATAGCTGCTTTATTAGATGTATAAACCAAATCAAACGTTTGGTTTTGTTTGGAATTACAAATGTTTTTAAGTATGTAACAATCTTCAGAATCACTTATTTAAATAAGTAAAACAATTGAGGTTACAGTGAAAAAATAATTGAACATCTCATAGTGAGATGATCTTAAACAAACATTTTATTTCATTTTATTATATCTAACATGTCTTCAGGAATACTTCAGAGCAGAAATTTTCAATAATGTAAATATCTTTCATATGAGATTAGAAATGTAACTACTGTATTGGACCTGTAACTACTAGAAATGACATTATATATTTGTATAATATTTGATGTAAAATGAAAATAATAGTTTTTTCATAACTCAATTAATATTTTCTCTTTTGTGAAGGTGTTCGGTCTGTAAATAAACTTGGCGAAAAAGAAATGTATAATTTGGAAGAAAAAATTAATCAAGCTGTATTTCCTGGACTGCAAGGTGGACCACACAACAATACTATTGCTGGTAACTTTTTGTTTTAATGTATTTAATTAATCTAAATATAAAATTTTAATGAATAAAATATCTTTTATGTTGTTTGCATTTATAAATAGAATTTTATTTATTTAACATAGTGCATCTTTATGATTTTTTCCATGTACACACATAATCTTCAAAACAGATACCTGAATACTTGATATTCATCACTACTCTTAGTAGCTTTAGACAACTTTGTAATTGAATTTAAATTGGTATATTGCCTACCTTATTGTATAACCTGCACTCATTATCAAAGTGCATTTCAAACACAGATAACCTGTGGATTATAAGCATGAATATATGATAATATGCTTACTATAATGCTGTCTATATTCATTTTGTTCCCAATTGAGGAGTGCCATGGAATTATCTTTCCAGGAGCTCTCACAAGCTCAGCATTAACCATGATTTTATATATATATATATATATATATATTGTAATTGTATGCTGAAATTTGCCATTTCTTGAATTTCTAGCACACTATAATAGATTTTTATTTCAGAATCATTAGTTTTTCTGTTTCCTTCTTGAAATGCTAACCTGGTTTCTTCAGATATTTCAGCATTTGCAATATATTTATAATATGGTGTTTTTATAGTAGCTAGTAAATATGTCTTTGCTATATACTGGTGAATTATTCTAGCTACCTGGTTTTGTCTGTGTAAATTGTCTGTTTGGACCAGGCTTTTACAGCTGCTTGTGATATGCTATAGTTTCTTATGCAGAATGACATTTCCTATATGTGTCATCCATGGTAACTTTGATTATGTGCTTCCTGTACTAATGACTTGGTCCTGTACTGCAATCATAAAGACCCATAGAGATTCCCATCTCTCAGCCAATGGTTTGATGCTGCTTTATCAACATGTGCAAAATCAGTTGAGTGTCTGCTGTGGAGTGTTTTTACCATCCATGTTTACTGTTTTGTGTTCTTTGTACTTTGGGTGATCCTTAGGTTTAATGGTATATAATTATCATCAGTCCAGATAATTTTATAGTGTAGTGATGATGATTGTTAAGTTTAGAAGAAGCTTTGTAGTGAGTCTATCTGTTTCTGATGGAGAATCTTAATGACAATGAGACCTCTACTACCCTCTGAGCATGAGAGGGTAAACGTTTTGTTAGCCTAATCTGGATGATGCAGTCAATATTTAGTAAATATTACTCAGATTTTATGGTTGGAGTCCTCAAGGTCTGTGTTGGTTCACTGAATAATGCCAAACAAGTTGATAAATAGTAGAATAGCATGTGTTGATGGCTTTTATTAGGTTTTTGGAGTTTATGTATGTTTTTATTATTGATTTTAGTCTGTTACAATATAGTTTAGTAAGTTCTGTTTTTACTGTTTTGTGTTCAATTAGTTTGGTTTGTGAAACCCCAGATATCTATAGGTTTCTCCTTTCTTTGTGGTTATGTAATCTCTGCTGTCAAGTTTGAAGGGATCCCCTTGAAGCTCCCTTTTTCAATGTGCAGTGTTTTACAATTATCAATGCTAAATTCTATCTAGATATCCTGAGGAAAGTCTGTACAATCTTCAGGAGTTGTTTATTATCATTAGCAATAAAAGAGGGGATTTATAAAAGGTCGAGAAATCCTTGAAGAGTTCAACATTCAAAAAGTTTGGGGACCTTGATTTATATAAAAGAATTTTTCTATAAATAAATTTAATTTTTAAAATTTTAATTCTGCTTTCAGGTATTGCTACTGCTCTCAAACAAGTTCGGATGCCCGAATTCTATTCTTATCAGAAACAAGTTGTAGCAAATGCAAAAACACTTGCTCGACTTTTACAAGAAAAAGGCTACAAATGCATCTCAGGTACATTTTTATTTAGTAAAAAATAATTACAAATAAAAACCGAAAAGCAAGATAACATCAATATAAATCTTAGTTACTTTTATATTTTAGAAGTGAACATTTTATTGTATTTTAGGTGGCACAGATAATCATATAGTTTGGGTTGATCTTCGATCAAAGGGAATAAATGGTTCACGTGCAGAAAGAGTTTTGGAAGACATATCCATTGCTTGCAATAAAAATACTGTACCTGGGGATAAGAATGCTTTTAATCCCAGTGGAATTAGATTGGGAACGCCTGCTCTTACCACTAGAGGCTTAAAAGAATCTGATATCGAACAAGTGGTTGATTTCATTGATAGAGGTAAATTAAATTTTTATCATTTTAAAAATTTTTGAATGAATTTAAATGGCTAACCAAATAAAACATTCCAAACTTTTGAATTGAATATAATTTTTTATTCTATTCATTAAAATGTCAACAATGCTGTTTAGCCTGATGGTGACCTGAAAACATTAACAGACTAAAATTGGTTTGCTGGAATACAAGTTATTTGTGCAAATGTTTCAGAAATTAATAATTTTAACTGCTGGATTCTTGGACTATAATTATTATGTAATTTGTCCTAAAGGGAGACAGGTTGCAATCTTATGCTATTATTAATAATTAGAAATTAAGATTATTTAATTTAATGAATTCAGAATGTTCTGGATGAAAAGATCAACCCAGAATAGGATTCAAGCTCACAACTTCTTATAATGCTGATGTGTGATGTGTTGCCAATTAAACTAGCTAGACTTCTGTCTAATCTTTGCTTCTAGATTGACATCAGAGTTAAGATTTGGGTATAAATCAGACTCAGTGTTCATTTATAATTATTTCATCTGTTAAACAGCATAAATATCAATCTTCAAGATATTAATGTTACTTATGATGGATGACTTTATGAATAGCTTTTATTTATTTATTTATTTTTTTATCATGGTATATTTTCACAAATAGTTTATATTTTATAAACCAAATGATTTCTGTATTAAATAAGGCTATTTTACCATTACTATTAATAATTAGATTCTAAGTAATTTGGTAGTGGAGATAGGCATTAGACACTATCTTATATTAAATTTAATAATTAAAATATGAGATGGTGCCTAACATCTTCCTCTAGTACCAAATTACTTAGAATTTGATTATTAATAGTAGTGGCAAAATAGCCTGATTTAATATGGCAATTGTTTGGTTTATGTTTAAACATCAGGCTTCGAGATGTTTATATAAGATTAGAAAAATATTTGTTTCTGTTTAAATATATGTTTGATTTAATTACTAGGCAAGCAAACAAAAGGTTCACTCGTGTGAAATGATAAGTTTGGTAATGCCACAAGTCAGACTTGACAACATCTTGAGCCAGTTTTGTTCAACTAACTCATTATCCATGACCTATACCCAAATGTAGTATTAACTTAGATAATCAATATTATTATTAAAATTATTTGTAGTTATTAAAACACATCTTCCAATACAGAACAGAGAATTTTCAAAGAGAAAAGCTACATAAAAATAAAAGTTATCAAACATTATTAATAGTTTATGTGAAATTATTAAGTTTTAAATAGATCAGTTACTTTTTATTTTTCTTTTATAAGGTTGTAGGATTTGATGGTTCTACCACTGTTGAAGAATTTATTCAAAGTTTGAATGCAGAAGCAGGGATTAGAGATACTAGCCATTCTGGATTCTTTCTTTACAGTGATGATCCCATCGAAAAAGGCATGGAACATTGCCTTCAAAGTTCTTCCAAGGTAATGAATTAATTTGGTTAAAATTAATGTAATTTCCTGCCTATAATTTGCAGAATGTCTTTAAAACAATCTTCTGACTGATAGTCAGATTATAAGATTGCATATAATCTAAGAAAATTTTTCTGCATTGTCAAATGTTTAAAATCATTTTACTATTTTATTATGTTATGAAGTCTTATTGATATGATAAAACGTGTCAGGATGTCTTTTTTACTTGCCAAGCAGATGCAAAAAACAAAGATGCTGATGGACCCATTCATTTCCACTTGTGAATGGAATGTAGAATTATTTACCAGTCTGTCAACCATCTAATAAATATCTCCAAGTCAACCTCTGTTTAAAATAATTTTAATCTTAGCTAAAAATATTTTAGCTTAGTTAATCAATGATGATTAATAACATCTGACCTGACACAGTGCCGGCCTGAGGAAAGTTTTAGGATGGAGCGAGATCCTATTATGGCGCCCCCTTGGTTGCCCTTAATTTATACCCTTTAATTTTCTTTACCACTGAGGCGCCCCCTAGGACTTAGCGCCTGGAGCAGCTGCTCCGTTCGCCCTATAGTAAGGCCAGCTCTGACCTGACACCTCAACCAAGAAGACTTGTCTCCTGTATTGGTGTAGAGGGAGTTTGTTCCAATGAACATATCCAGAAAGTTTTTATACACATATGATTTAATTATATTTTATTAATATAAAAATTCACAAAAGTATAAAAAAAATTAGGAAGAAAATTCAAAGAAATCAACAGTCATATTGAAGTATTATAATCTGTATATGGAATAAATTTAATTTTTATTGTTAACTTTTTTTAATTTAATATATGGACCATTTAGTTTCAAAGAGGTGTAAGACCATTTTTTTTTCTTTGAAGATATTTAAAGGTTTGCATTTTAGTCAATTCAAAAATATAAGTGTATTAACTTTGGCAATGTTTCTATGAATTTAGAAATATGTAAGTTGAGTACCCAAATAACTTCTATTGGAATTTAACTAAACCAATATATTCTTTCTGGGTTGTAAGTGAACTTAGACCACTTTCATAATTATTGAACTGTAGAAGTCATTAAATTTCAATTATCTAAAATTTAATTTCACTTGAAGTGCATTGTGTTTTATTCTGATTTTGTTTATAAGTAATAACAAGAAATAAAAGAATGTCGTTTATTCTCAACATTAAAAATATTTACTTATTGTTAAACTATTTT